ATTTTAGGTGCCATCAGTTTTATTACTAGAATTATCAATATAAAACTACCAGCCATATCTCAGTATCAAACACCACTATTTGTTTGATCCATTCTAATTATAGCTGTACTATTATTACTTTCACTCCCAATGCTACCAGCTGATATTACTGTATTATGTGTCTTTCCTTCAATATTGAATAATAACCTTGCTGGGTAGAGTATCCTAAGTTGTAGGTTTTTCCCTTTCAGCACTTTAAATATATCATGCCACTCCCTTCTGGCTGCAAAATTTCTGCAGAAGAGTCAGCTGATAGTCTTATTAGGGTTCACTTGTACATGGTCCTTTGTTTTTCTCTTGCACCCTTTAAAATTCTCTATGTATCTTTTGCCATTTTAATTTTGATATGTCTTGGTGTTGGTCCCTTCGAGTTCATTTTGTTTGAGACTCTCTGATTCATGTACCTGGAAATCTGTCTCCTTCTTCAGCATGGGTAAATTTTCAGCCATAATTTCATCAACTATATTTTCTCCTTTCTCTCTCTTCTCCTTCTAGTACCCCTATTATGCAAGTGTTAGTAAGCTTGATGTCTTAGAGGTCCCGTAAACTATCCTCATTTTTAATTTTTTTTTCTTTTTACCGTTCTGATTATGTGTTTTTCGTTATTCTATCTTCCAGATCCCTTACGTGTTCTTCTGTATCACTTAGTCTGTTATTAATTCCTTCTAGTGTGTTTTTCATTTCAGTAATTGTATTCTTTAGCTCTGACTTTTTCCTTTCTATATTTTCTAGTTCCTTGTTAAAATTCTCACTGTGTTCATCTCTTCTTTTCCCAAGTTCAATTAGCATTCTTATTACTAATGCCTTGAACACTTTATCTAATAAATTATTTATCTCTGTTCCATTAAGTTTTCTTTTAGGGTTTTTTTCTTATTCTCTCCCTTGAAACATGTTCTTCCGTCTTCTCATTTTGTTTAACATTCTCTATCTCTACGAATTAGGTGAAAAAGTTACCTGTCCCAGTCTTGAAGGAGTGTCTGTGTGGAAGCATTCCTATGCAGTCCATGTGTACTCAGTGGCTTTGGTGGGAGAGCTGCCATGTTAGAAATCAGTGATCTCTTATAAAGTAGGATTCAAAGAGTTTTCTGGGATTCAACTAATCTTGAAGGGAATGTATAAACAGTGGAACATGTTAATTAAGGACACATTTGACTTGGATTTGTCTTTATTTTGTTGGACCTTTTAAACTTTCATTTTACATCATCCTTGGCCGTTGTCACAGCCTGTTGGGATTCATGATCTCTGTGTATAAGCAGATAAGTAAATAGATGGAACTGATAACTTAATTATAGTCCCAGAGAATGGGTAAAGTTCCCAGCCATACCTCCACTAATTGAAGGGTAATTCTGCCTCTTCTCATTTAGGAAGCAGGCAGGAGTGTGAGAACACCTACTATAGAGGAATACATCAACATAGGTACATTGAATTCGCAAGAGGCATATCCACTTAGAAATTCTCTTCCCTAGGAAATTTCTTAAAAACACAACGACATCCTCACTTTGAAGCTTTTTAGTAAGATCACCTCACAGAAGACCGGTAACACCCTGAACAACGGTTCACTTCAACAATGTTGTTTCTCTAAATCAGGGGTAGAACTGTAACCAAATCTAGTCCCATTTGTTTTGCACAACTTGCAAGCCAAGAATTGTTTTACATTTTGAAATGGTTGGAAGAAAATCAAAAGAAGAAGATTTCATAACACATGAAAATTATACAAAATTCACATTTCAGTGTCTAGAGATAAGTGTTATGGGATTACACCCATGCCCATCAATTTTCTATGGCTGTTTTCACACTACAGCATGGTGTGGAATAGTTGCAACAGAGACTTTATGGACCACAAAGGCAAAATATCTGCTATTTGGCCCTTTGCAGAAAAAGTTTGTCAACCTCAGCTCTAGAGCTCATGTGAGGAAAGGAGGCACCGAATCCCCCTGGGTATGTACAAAATGAGCACCTCTTTACAAGCTTGTATGGGCATCTTTGTATGCAGTTATGGGGATTGTACAAGACAAGGAATAGAGAAGAGAGTGAGCTAGTAGGGTCGAGGTGCTTAGTCCCAACATTCCTTCAGGAAATCAGTTGTCATTCCTCTCACTGATGCACCCACTTTTAAACTACCTCCTAGAACCTTGAAACTACAGGATCTGGGAGAAGAATAGTCGAATACAGTGTGTAGGGAATGTGGCCAGGAATCAAGAGTAATCTTATGACCAACGAGGGATGCCTCCTTGGGATGCCACATGCTCTAAGCTAAATCGTTCTTCCTAATGTTCTCTCTCACCCAGCCCTACTCCAGAGAACATGAAGGAAACCATGTAAAAGAGTGTGGAAAAGAGGGGCAATGAAGCAGGTAGTGGCCACTCCCCCAGCCAGGTCCTGGGCATTTGGCATTCTGAAGATGAAAGAGGTCTTTGCAGAAAGATGCAGCAAGTAAAAACTAGGCAGAGGTGTCCAGGAGAGGGACTGGGGTTAATAAATGGGTCTGTGACAGATGAAATATACTCCTGCAAAGGGAAGAACTGGGAAGAGTAGCCTTTTTTACCTTGTGGAGAGAGACAATAGCATTAGAGGTCAAGCTAGAATTGGGTGTGTCCTGCTCATCCTTAGATGAATAAAGCTATAGGAATGGTACTGCTTCCTAAGGAAGGTATCCATAATCACTATAGTTTGAGTAGCATTAAAAACTAAAAAGAGCTCTATGTAAAATGAGAGAAGATAAAAACATGTGATCCAAATTGCAGCTTAGAAAATTTAGTGAGCCTGTGATTAAAAAGAAAAACAATTTTACCTACAACATACCTTTATCATTTGGTAATTGCTAACTACATGCCAGGTTTACATATGCGTATATATAAGTGTATAGATATAAATACATGTACATAAATACATTTATGTAGATATAAATAATATAAATGTACATTTATATTATTTATGTATTTATGTATATTTGTATCTATGTACATTTATATTATTTATGTATTTATATTATGTATTTATGTATAAATGCACATAAATACATTTATATAGATATAAATACATTTATAGATATAAATACATGTATATATATATCCTCTAAGCCTTGTAACAATTGAGCAAGATAGATAGTATCCTCATTTTATTAATGAAAAAAACAAGAATTGGAGAGGTTCAATGACTTACCCAAGGCCACACAGCTCTAAGTGACTGAACTAAGATTTGAAGTGTCTCTGACTCTCCACTTCACCACATTTACTTTATAGATGAGCATCACCACCTCCAAGAAACACAAAAAGGCAATTCCTCCAGAATTAAATATATGCCAGTTTATGCTAAGTATTACCTGCTTAATGAGGGGACTCACTGAGTCAAATAATTGAGGTATCATCATTTTAAGTGATAGAGGAATATGGTTGGTAGGGAAACAATTTTTAGAAACTTCAATATACTTCGTGACCGGGAGTTAAGTGCAGTTTATTTAGTCTCATCACCAACATAATTTTACCTGGTGCTAATGGATCAATTTATGGAATTTGATCTTTTCCATGACTACACACTGACCAGAATCAAAGAAATACAAATTTGAGAAATCTAGGCCTTTGACCACAAAGGTCCAAAGAGAGGATAAGAGGAAAGAGAGAAAACCCATCTTCACTGCTGGGATATCTCAATTAAACAGCTAGTTTTCAACAGTATTGGGGGGCTACTATGAGATACCCAGAGAAGAATAAGAAATGAGAAAAATAAGGTAAATTTTGAATAACACATCATAAAATGGAGCAGAAAACTGCAGAGTCATCTATCTGGGACAAATGCCGGAGTCCCAGGCCAAGAGTCCAAGAGTGTAAGCAGTAGATTGGGTTTACTAGGACTAAAGGGAAAGCAGGGATTGGGCAGCCAAGAGACTAGAGCAGAGCCCCACTCTTGGCAGGGAGCTTGCTGGAGGACTGGGAAACGAGTTCCTCTTTAAGAGCAGCTCCTCCCATTTTGCAATAATCCCCCCGAGTGTTGGTTCAGGGAAGCATTTTTTCTTTCAAACTGCCCAAATATCTTGGACAAGACTTAAACCTTCAGAAGAACAGAAGATAAAGAAAAGGTAGAAAAAGAAAAAAAGGATGATACTGTAATGATGCGAGAGGGAGGAGAGTGGGATTGGTAAATGGAGAAGGCGCATGCTATATTTATACCAAATATGGCCAAAATGAGAATGACGTATAATTCAAGTAGATATTTTTTACTTTCTGAGAATTAAGGATTATGACTTTTGTCATCCAAATCTACTTCTCTGCATATCTATGTGATTTTGTCTAAAAAGAAAAAAACAGAGAAAAGTAATAGTCAGGTCTAAAGATATTGTCAGGAATAGGAAAAGGTTAGGAAACATAATTTTTTTTAGAAGAGAATGGAGGTTGAGGGTAGCAGCTAGTGGGAAGAAGTTGTTTTTAGATAAAGAGACTTGACTTTTCTTTTTAATTGAGAAGGTGAAGAATATTATTAGGGGAGAAAAGAGGGTGACTTCCTGGCATACCAAAACACAGATATAGCCAGACTTTATTCCTCAAGGCTTATGTTAAAGTAGAGAGAAGAAATAAATATGTGTATTTATGTGTGTGTATGTATATGCATTTATACACATACACATATATATTTGTTTCTTCCTTCATACATACATAAATGTTTGTGGGTATAAGTGTGTGTATATGTGTTTTAGTGGTGAATCTCCTCTTTCTCCCATTTACTGTCTCTAGTACAGAGTAACTGACAAAAGGCCAAAGGCAAAGAAGACAAATATTTTGCCAGATCACCAGCCTCTTAATTTTGGAGAGTTGACTGAAAACAAAGTGTTTCTTTTGGGAGGAAAAAATATTCTCTTTAGAAATTAAAGAGAAATGCAAAGTATAGTTAGATAACTAAAAAAAAGTTCTGATCTATTTTCTTTTAATATTGCTTTTCTTGGTGCAAAAACAAAGTTGCTTATTAAGCCAAAAAGTGATACCAAAAAAAAAAATCCAAAAATGAGTCTTCAGCAATACTGTTGCTGGAAATGTTCCCTGGGCCTTTGCACAGGCAACCATGGTGAAGAAAGTGGCCATCATTGGAGCTGGCATCAGTGGCTTGGCCTCCATCAGGAGCTGCCTAGAAGAGGGGCTGGAGCCCACCTGCTTTGAGAAGGGCGAAGACGTCGGGGGCCTGTGGAAATTCTCGGTGAGTGGGATGCCACTGCAATAGACTGGGGAGTGAAATGGGAAGTGTGAGAGCACATTGCTTGAACACAGCTTTCCAAACAAGCTGTCGTGGCAGTTACACTCACTCTATGAAACACAACATCAGAAGCAGGTTGGAAAGTAAGTCCCTTACTTACTTCAAAAGTAAATGAGGTAGTGGGCTGGTTACTCTCTGTGTACAGAGCTCAACTCCAATAAATCATTAATAAGTGAGCCACTTGGGGATAAAATACATGGTCAAATATTGGTTAGGTTTATGTAATGGAATTACATGAGTTATTCATTTAAAAAGCAACAGCTCTTTCCATTCTTTTGTTGGGTCTCTGAAACATCCTCTTAGTGATTCAGACCACAGATTTTAAGATTTCAGGTGCTGACTTTGGTCTTGCCAAAAACGCATAATTCATGAGATAGCTACGAGAGGAACCAAGAATAGGACACACTGATTTGAAGTTCTTCAATGACTTTTTACTTCTATGCATTTATATGAAGGACTCCGTCAGCAGACATGCTTGTAAGCTGACGTTAAATCACTTCCTGCGTTGTCTGACAAGCATATCATCGGGTGTGTGGGCTACCTTGTGCCCCCAACTCCCTCAGTGTCTCCAACCTTAGGAATGCTGTCTGGCTAAGCCTACTCCTGTTTTCTTCTTCTTCTTCTGATAAACCATTAACACATATGCAAACATAGGAAGATCATTAACCCTTTTTAAGCCACCATTTCCTTCTCAAATGCAAAATTAGTATTAAACTTTATAACTTAATAAAAGGTTGTATTTAAGGAGACAGTGTTTGTGACAGCTCTTTAAATATTATAAAGATATGAGAATTATTCTTATTAATGTAGATATTTTCTAGGCTGTAAAGAACTCTTCAAACCATGCAGTATCTTTTATAACATTGTGGAGCCCAGCGTGTCACTGGAATGTGCTGACAGATCTTCAGATTAGCACACTGATGAATCTTAGGGCTATTTTATTGAGCACTTTCTATATGCCAAACACCATTCCCATTTAATTCAGTCTTTATAATAATCCTATAAGCTAGGTATGAGTTTTTCCCTTTTACAAATGAATCTGAAGCTTAAAAAGAAAAGAAAAAATGATAAATGGCTGGTAAATGGTAAAGACAAGACCCCAATTCAATCTGACTTGTCTCTCCAGCCTGAATTCTTAACCTCTTTTTAAGCTACTGGGTGACATTTCAACAAGTGGCTTATTGAGCAGGCAAGTCTTCTACACAGTGATCTTAACCAAATCCTCATATTCAAACTTACTTTGCGGACTTCCCTGATGGCTCAGTGGTTAAGAATCTACCTGCCAATGCAGGGGACACAGGTTCCAGCCCTGGTCCGGGAAGATCCCACATGCCGCAGAACAACAAAGCCCATGTGCCACAACTACTGAGCCCATGTGCCACCAACTAATGAAGTCCGTGCATCTAGAGCCCATGCTCCGCAACAAGAGAAGCCACTGCAATGAGAAGCCTGCGCACCGAAGCAAAGAGTAGCCCCCACTTGCTGCAAGTAGAGAAAGCCCACACGCAGCAACGAAGACCCAACACAGCCAAAAATAAATAAATATAAATAAATAAATAAAAACTTACTTTGCAAAGCATTGCTGAAGAAAGACACTGCTGATATAGCTTTTGAGAGCAGCTGCCTCTCTTGTTATTCAAGGAAGACTTTAAAAATTTGAACCTAGCATCACAGAGTGATAAAACTACGCAGCTGCAAATATGTGCTACTCTTCAAGAAAAAGAAAATTTACCCCAGAGGCTGGAACCTCAAACACAGAAGCTGAAGCCTTGAGACACAAATGCTTATTACCAGGTCTTGAAACCTAATGAAACTTGCCCTGCTGGATTCCAAAATTGCTTGGGACTGGTGACTCCTTTTTTCCTTCCATTTTCTTCCTTTTGGAATGGGAACATTTGTAACTGGTACCCTGTGCCTGTCCCATCACTGTATTTTAGAGGAAGACAACATGTTTCCTTGTTTGGCAGGTCCAGAAATGGAGAATTTTATCCCAGGGTGAATCATACTCAATCTCATTCATACCTGATTTAGATGATGAGATTTAGGACTTTTAAGCTGCTGATATATAAGTGAGATTTGGGACTTGATTTGATGCTGCAGTGGATTGAGACTGTGGGGATGTTGGGCTGAAGTGAATGTATTTGGCATGTGGAATAAATGTGAATCCTTAGGGGCCTGACAGTGGACTGTGGTAGGCTTTTCAAACAATGGCACCCTCAAAGATATCAGGTCCTGATTCTAGCACCTGTAAATGTTCCTAATAAAGACAAAGGATATTTACAGACATGACTAAATTAAGAATTTGGAGATGATGAGATTATCCTGGATTATCTGGGTGGGCCCAAGATGCCATAACATAAACCCCTAAAATAGAGAGGCAGAGAGAGATCTGACACACAAAGATAGAAAAGAAAATGCGACCTCATCAGAAAGAGAGATTTGAAGATGCTATGTTGTGACCCTGAAGATGGAGAAAGGGGACATTAGCCAAGGAATACAGGTGGCCTCAAGATGCTAAAAGAGCCGAGGAACGCTGGCATCCACCAGAAGCTGGAAGAGACAATGATTCTCCCCTAGAGCCTCTGGAATGAACATGGTCCTGCCAGCACTTTGATTTAGGCCCAGTGATACTGGTTTCCAACTCCTGGTCTCTGGGATCATGAGGGAATAAATTCCTGTTGTTTCAAGCTGTCAAGTTTGTGGTAATTTATTACAATAGCCTCACGAAGCTAACAGAAACTAATATACTTGGTTATTCGGAGTTTCCAAACTATTTCACCTCTGTGAGAGGACTTAAAGATTGTAAATGATGTTGTGACTTGCAGTGTTTCTCAAATACCTCTAGGAGTCTGTAGCAGTATACCTAGAATTCACATCATGGGATTATATTATAAAATCAGGTTAAATTTTGTATTTTCATTATCTTTAGTTTCTAAAGATAGCACTTTACATTCTCTCAACTTTTTTTTCTTTCAGAGAGATCCAAATATTAGCTATGTGTAAAAAGGGTAAAGTGCAGGTAATTCACACTTTTGTAGCTGTTTCCTATAGCACTTTCCTATAGCCCTTCTACTTCTTTCTTATAACCCCAATCTAAAGCCAAGATGATGTATTTCCCTCACCTGCTCTGATCGCTGAGAAGATAAAGTACGTTGTGACTAGGATGCAGGTCTAGGGGAAAGGTCTTTCCTTCTCAGGAGTCCCCCAAACAATATGTGAGTAAACTGGATTTTGGCCTGAAGTGTCATGAATAAAGTCTGTTTTTTTCTGGGCATACAACCCATTGTTCACTTCCCCTGACTTTTTTCTAGCCTATGTATCTATTTGATCTTTAATATTTAGTCTCTCCTTGTGTTAATTATAATCACTATCAAGCTTCCTAAACTCACCCAAAGCTATGAATTCCTCCACCTCTGCATCCCAAATGCACACTAGCAGAGTCAACAACCCAAGGGAGCAGCGGAAAACTCACGCCATATTTCAAGATCACATTGCTTTCTGACGCAAACTTGGCAATTAATCTACCACTGAATTACTTGTCAAGAACAAGGCCACAGCCACATTGGCTTTTGATGTGATTGGAATATTCTAGTATTATACTAAAAATTTATATTCTACGGGCCTGAAAACTTTGAGTTATATGAGCCCTAATTCTAAATTTCTAGTGCTCAGTGCTTTTCATTATGAACTGGCAACTCTACATAGAGATCTACAGTTTGATCTTTCATCAGAGGGAAAATCATTTCAGATAGAAAACAATGTTAATTTTTTTAAGGAAAGAAATGTTTTTCTTTGGAGCCCCTTTTGGGTATTTTTTTTTTAACTTTATTTATTTATTATTTTTGGCAGCGTCGGGTCTTCGTCGCAGTGCGTGGGCTTCTCATTGTGGTGGCTTCTCTTGTTGTGGAGCACAGGATTTAGGCGCATGGGTTTCAGTAGTTGTGGCATGCAGGCTCAGTAGTTGTGGCTCGTGGGCTCTAGAGCGCAGGCTCAGTAGTTGCGGCACATGGGCTTATTTGCTCCACGGCACGTGGGATCTTCCCGAACCAGGGCTCAAACAAATGTCCCCTGCATTAGCAGGCAGATTCTTAACCACTGTGCCACCGGGGAAACCCCTATTTTGGGTTTTTTGTTTTGTTTTGTTTTGTTTTTTTGTTTGTTTGCTTTTTGTTTTTTTTTAATTGGCTCTTTAAATTTGAAAGTGCAATCTGAAGAATTAGACTAATGTTTACTTTGTTATTTTATTTTTTAAGGATCATAGTTTTGGTCAAATAGTAGCTTAACAACTATTGCATCTTGCACTTTGGTCTGTCACTAGTTGATATACAACACTATAAAAAAATGAAATATGCCTTATTTTCAAGTGCCCATGGAACATTTCTAAAACTGACTCAACCAAAAAGCCTCAAAATTTTTGAAAAAATGTATAAATAAAATGAAATTCTCTGTTGCCAATACAATAAAATAGAAATTTATACCAAAACGATGGAAAATACTGCCTCCAGGAAATTTTTAAGTTCTCTCTTAAAGATCTATTGATTAATGTTCTTTTAGAAGTTCGAGCCAATTCAATAAGACAAGCGATTGATAATAAAAAAGAGAAACTGGAAAGGAGGAAAAATTATCAGTTACTGTCCATCTGATTTTATACCATGAAGGACATCAATTGGAAAATGGCTGCAAAAAATAAGATAATACAATGAGGTTGGAATTACCAGACAAAAATCAATAGTTTATACATGTTTTAGAGTTAGCAAACTGGCTCTTTTTATACTAAAGCTGTTCTGTTTTATTTGATCTATACATTTTTAAAATTTTTTGATCCATTATTTTAAAATCATGATATTTCACATAAAGATCTAGGGATATATCTTCTTTTGAAAAATTAGAAAATCAGGCAACACTGTATCTCCTCTTACTCTAATACCTGGCCTCTTTTAGGCTAAATTTGAATTCTCTGTTCCACCATATTCGTTTTTGACCCATTTCTTGTAACTTCCTCTGTATTTATAGAATTTTTTTGATTGGTGCTATGTACAAACAACAATCCCTTAGAATATTTCAAACAAAAGACACACCCATTTACAAGATTTTCCATCTTCTCTTGTTCATATAGTTATACCATTCTTTTTGTTTAAGTAAACCTTCATGCTTATATTATTATAACCATGTAAATACTGTTCATTGTTATATTTTCTTTCTTAAATAACTTTTTGTTTTCACTGGAGCTAATAACTGCCTTGTGTCCTTTGTTGGTTTAATTTTATAAATGCTATCTCTAATTCAAACCCCAGGCCATCCCACAGAATTCTCTCAGCATGTTTAAACACACAAGGTGTTTCACCAGCTTAATTCTTCTCTCAACTATCTCTTAAAGATACTCTTTCAGATTGTCTTCCTTCTTTTCCCTAGGCTAGCTACACTGCTTTACCCTGGGTAACCCTATTTTCTGGAAACCTTATCTTTCTACTATTTTGTTTATTCTCTCATTTTAGTAGACTATATGAGAGTACATCCTCAGTAGTTTTCTGAAAAATTATATATGTGAAGTAAAAGATTGTAGACTTTGAATGTCTTAGAGTATCATTATTTGATCCAGATTCCCAGTTGATTAGATCTAGTCTCAGCTTTCACCTTTCTTTGGTCTGTTAAGTCAGTTATCACTCATGCATCTATATTCTACTTTCAAAATATTGTTGTTATTTCTTGTTTGCTTTTACTTTTTTTTCTTTTTTTTTCCTTGTGGGTTCATACCTCTGATACCTTTACAGTAATTTTAGTGGAAAAAGAGTTAAATGCATCTACATAATCTTTCATGTTTAATCAGAAGTCTGGATTACTTAAGTAATCAAAAATAAATAAATAAAGCTACTTCCATAAATAACCAAGGTTTGGTTCTTTGTTGAACACTTGCCCTACAAAAAATTTATATTTGAAAATGCAATTTATGACTCTATAGTCACTCTCTTATGAACTTCTTATATCATCAACTTAAAAGAATCAGTCTATAAACATGGGCTCTGAGATACACTATAATACCAAATAGGAACAGTAAGATGTTCATGACATATTTTTGTGTTTTTTTTTTTTTCTTTTTTAAGCAAGTCACACATGATGTGGTTAGTTGATGCTGCAACTCCTCTCTCATTAATCATGGCCTTTTCGGAATCCAAGAAAAACTGAAGACCAATCAGCTCAGCATTGCTAGGGGGATTTACTGAATATTATCCTGAAGCAACCAAAGTTGCAAAAGCACCTCAAACCTGTCTCAAAGGTTTGCATCATTTTTATTATATGAAACTCCTCCCTTGTTGTTACATTACATAATTTTCCCTGACTTTGGCTTGCTCCAAAACCTTACCTTTGGCCTTGTATTAGTTTTCTATTTCTGCGTAGCAAATTACTGCAAACTTTAGCAGCTCAGAACAACACTTACTTATTACTCTCAGGTGTACAGCATAGTTCAGCTAGGTTCTTTGCTTAGGGTTTCACGAGGTCAAAAATAAGCTGCTAGCTGGGCAGGGCCCTTATCTGGAGGCACAAGGGAAGAATCTGCACCCAAGTTCATACAGGGTGGTGACTGAATTCGGTTCCTTGCTGTGGTAAGATTAAGGTCTTTGTTACCTTGCTGGCTGTAAGTTGGGATTCCTCTCAGCTCCTAAAGGCTGCTAGTATTCCTTGGCATATGGCACCCTCCATCTTCAATGTCAAGAACAACAAGCTGAATCCTCCTCATACTTTGAGTGATATGATATTTACAGGTTTCACCCAGACTCAGAGGGCAAATGACTGTACAAGGCTGAGGAGCACTAAGGGTCACTCTTAAAATTCTGTCTACCAAATGCCTCTTGCTGTAAGTTGAGGGAAAGTCATGAAGCATGTCAGTGAACCCTAAAACTCTCACTCTGTCCTGGGAGATCCTCTCTCATTTTCTCCTATGAGTTCTTGATATGTTGCAATGTTTCATCAGTAAGTAATACTAGACTACTAAGTGTTCAGGTCACTCGTTTATGTCTAGCATAAATAGGACAACAGACAAATGTCCAGAATTACATAGAGAGAAGCATAAAAGCATTCTAAGACACAAGGAGTACCCCCAGTTGGCACAGCTTAATCTCTAGGTCTCTTTTGGATCAATGCTCAGTCTTTCAGGTCCCCTCCTTGCCCCTCAGCTCTTTCCAAAATTGTATCTGGGCTTATGGAGAAGGAGAACTTAAATGACCTTGGGGTAAAGGGAAGCCAAAGTTTCCCAGATTCAAACACAGGTCTTGGGACTGTCCTCTGGCCGCTCTGGTCTCCTGATGTTTCTATTCTATTTGGTTACCATTCACACTCATTCTTCAAGAGGATAAGACAGCAGTTGATGAACCTGGAGACTGTCCTCTCTTAACTTAATCAGGAGCCACTGAATCTGCTTGCTGAATAGACCTCACTTGCCAGGTCCAGTTTTCTCACTGAGTCCCTGACTCAAGTGGTCCACTCTGCATCTCTCCTAAAATGTCGCTTAGCTTCCTCCATGGCAACTCTCTGGTAAACTGCATACGAAGATTCTCAGATCATTTCTGCATCCCTGTTGGGAGCAAGCAGGAACTCCTATGTTTTGTTCAAACTGAATGGGTTCAAGAGAACTAAACTAAACTAAAGTTCTACCTCTTCCTAATCATTGCTACTTGAGTTTCCTGTGTCAACCTCCCTCTACCCAGGCTGGTTCAGGGGGAGGTTTTGATATGTATTCTGATATCTTACCAGAATTTCAAATGTGAAAACAAAAGCCCCTCTTCCCTCAGTGTTCCCCTCAATGTTAATTTCAGAATTCCAGAATAAAGCTTAGGACTTAAGTAATCCACCATTACCCCTTTTTCTGCCTCTATTCCCCTTTCTCCTTACCCAGTTCCTTTAAACCAATGTTTTTCAAACTGGAGATTATGACTCATCAGTGTGCTATGATATAAATTAATGAATCAATCTGCATGTTTAAATGAAATGTATAGAAAGTATGTGTGCAACTCAACTTGTCGAAAATGATTTATTTCATAAAACTTTTGTCCCCACTGTGTGTGTGTCTGTGTGTGTGCACGCACTGGGTTGCAATATAAAATATATTACTAACTATAGGGTATGGGCAAAAACATTTGAAAAACACTGTTCTAAACATAACCAAACTTCTCTCTGCCCTAGGTACATAAGAAAATATCATGATCTAATCCACCAGAACTACCTCATGACATGCTAAAGGAAATTTTTTTCATTGTGGTAAATAAACCACAATAAAGATTTGCTGTTTAACCATTTTAAAGTGCATATAGTTCTGTGGCATTAAGTTAATTCACATTACTGTGCAATCATACCACCATCCCTCTCCAGAACATTTTTAATCTTCCCAAAGTAAAATAATACAGAAATTAAACAATAACTCTCGATTCCCTCCTCTCCCTGGTCCCAGGCAACCACTGCTCTCAGTCTCTATAAATGTGATCACTCAGGGTACCTCAGCTAAGTGGAATTATACAGTATTTATCTTCTTGTGACTGGCTTATTTCACTTAGCATATATCCTCAAAGTCAATGCCTATCACAGCATATGTCAGAATTTCCTTTCTTTTTAAGGCTGAATAATACTCCATTGTATGTATATATCACATTTTGTTTGTCCATGCTTATGTGTTGACACACTGAACTCATGCATGGGTGAATTTTGGAAAATATCTATCACTGTATTTAATGGCTAAAAGGAATAAAATTATTCCAGTTACATGTTCTTTAAAGGACATGATGAAATTCAGAATTTGTTTCCCTTAGAAAAGCAAAGATGTTAAGAAAGATATATTTTTCCACATTCTAAGTTCCTTTGATTATCATCAAATTGTTTAAGTGAAGTTAATTTATGCCTCATCTTATTTCACTTACTTGTGGGTAAAGGCCGACTGAAAATGAGTGCTAATTATTTGGAACTGGCCCTGACTGTGATAAGTATACTCATTCACAAACTCTCTTCCATTTAAAACCATACTTTCACAGGACCATGCCGAGGAAGGCAGGGCCAGCATTTATCGGTCAGTCTTTACCAACTCTTCCAAAGAGATGACATGTTTTCCGGACTTCCCTTTTCCTGATGACTTTCCCAACTTTATGCATAACAGTAAGCTCCAGGAATACATCACTGCGTTTGCCAAAGAAAAGAACCTCCTGAGATACATTCAACTTAAGGTAAGATGTTATCAAGAAATTAATTCGGGGCATTGCTGTGAGGAATTTTCTTTTTATTAGTAGATTCCCATTAGTTCTTTCAGTGTCTCTTTCTTACTTGTCAACGTTTTTAACAATGTGGCTTCTCTGACCCTAGATTTAGAGAATACACATTCTTCTCAAGAATACGTAGGAAATTTACAAAACTTGACCACATTCCATTAACTTAAGAACTCTTTTTTCCTAAACAATTTATGGGTCAAAAAAGAAAATGCAATGGAAATTTTAAAATATTTAGAGCTGAACGATAATTTAAATTCTACATATCGGTATTTGTGGGAAGCAGAGAGAGCAAAACTTTCATGAAAATTATACGCTTAAATGCTTGTATTAGAAAATAAGCTGGGGCTGGGGCTGCTTTCTCCTTTTAGGCTCTGAAACTCCCCCTCCATCCAGTCTAATTTCTCCACTGGTGAGGAGCCTTCCCAAGGTGTGGGAACCTTTCCTCCTTCACAGCTCCCTCCCCGGGCTGCAGGCACAATCCTGATTCCTAAGGTTTTTCACGTAATCCTTACACACACTAAAATTTGAGAAGAACTTATGCTCTGAATACAGACATCTTTCATTTTAAGACAATAATGTTAAAAATAAAATGGCTAATGAAATACGTTAGGAAATGTCGTTACTACAAAAATTATTGGCCACCAGATTATTTACTACATGTGCTACATGCCTCTTGTAAACTATGATTCAATTCACTGTCATAGCTCCGAAAGGAATCACTCTTCTACTGCAGAAAATACTGGTCATACACAAGGAAGCATGTGGGGATAAAAAACATATAGACCATTTAATGTTCTGAATTATTCTGAAGGAATTTTGAATTTGTAATATGTACCTTCATAATGAATTAAGTATTTTTCCTAAGACACTATTAAAGATTTTTTTCATCCTATTTGATCAAGCTGGTGCCAAACCTACCTGTTAGCATAGAAAAAAAGAAGGCTATCTTTCTGTGTTTCTCTTAGACACTTGTATCCAGTGTAAATAAACGTCCTGATTTCTCAGTCACTGGCCAATGGGACGTTGTCACTGAAAAGGATGGTAAAAAAGAATCAGCTGTCTTTGATGCTGTAATGATTTGTTCTGGACATCATGTGTACCCCAACCTACCAAAAGAGTCCTTTCAAGGTAAGGCCAAAATTCAGGGTGCCATCTACAAATCTGACACGAATGAATGACCTTGATAATGTCTTTCTTACATATATAAAAGTACAATTTATAAAAGCACACATTAAATTAAAATATGCTTCCACTGTATCTAACATACCTGGTGTGCTAAAATTCCAGCAACTATATTCACCCACAAGATCTGTTACAGCAGTTTTTTAAATGCAAATCAAATGATTCATATGTTTCCCACTTTTCACTCAGGTCTACAACTTTTTAAAGGCAAATGCTTCCACAGCTGGGACTATAAAGAACCAGGAATATTCAAGGGGAAGCGAGTCCTGGTGATTGGCCTGGGGAATTCGGGCTGTGATATTGCCTCAGAACTAAGCCACACAGCAGAACAGGTACGCCTCCCAGATACTAAGGGAGTTCTTTAAAGGGACAGACACACCATTTGAAAGGTGTGATAACGAAACGGGAGAAGAGCAGGGTGCTTGATCGGAATACTAAGTAGTGTTTCATATAGCTCAATTTCCCTGGTAACTTGTGAAATTTTAAATAGCTTGTATGGCAAAGGCAGAATATCAGCAAGGAGTGATGTTGCCATTCAACAATCTTCTTCTTTGGGACATTTAGTGTCTAACATGTGTCCAGTAAATTCCTCCGAAACTAATGGGATCATTTTGGGATCATCAGATAAGCACTAGAAGAAATATGCACTAGAATTCAGTTATTGGTCATCAACACCAGAGAAGATTTGATTAAGATATGAAAATTTGCCTGGAGGAGTATAACAGAGTGTTGACCCTAAGATGTCGATTACAAGGCAGGGAGTTTATTTGGGAGAGCTCTCTGGATGAATACCTCTGAGGGAAGGGAAAGAAGTTTTCCTTTACTTACTCTGAAGCTAGGATAGTCCTTTAGAATTGTCTCTAGTTGAAGTGAGAGGCTGGGCCTTTATATCCTTCCATGAACCAGTCACTGAATGCAGGGAATCCAAAGAGTATAAGTTACCAAACTAACTGCCAAGGAGGGTTGACAGCTGAGGGTTGCCTTCTGGCAACACTCCCAGAAGCTGCTATAATAACTCCATTCCTAAAGGCAGATCTGGGGGATATATCACAATATCCAGTACAAATGGTCACCACTTTAATGGTTGAAATGGTGCTTTTTAAGGTCATCGTCAGCTCCAGAAGTGGCTCCTGGGTGATGAGCCGGGTCTGGCATGGTGGCTATCCATGGGACATGATGTTTATCACTCGATTTGAAACCTTCCTCAACAACAACTTACCAACAGTCATCTCTGACTGGTGGTACGTCAAGCAAATGAATGCAAGATTCAAGCATGAGAACTATGGCTTGATGCCTTTAAACGGGTAAAGTAGACTTAAACATGATATGCCTGCTAATTTTTATTTCAGTGTCAACAACCCTAATGTGTGTTGTAACCCCCAAACAAATCAAAGTGAAGTAATCACCTCTCACTTTTCAGAGGATAAAGAATTGCAAAAGTTAGGGGTATTTTCCTATTCACAATCCTCCTTACCAGATTTGCACAGCTGCGAAGTTATATAATATCAGTACCTCAGGAATTAGTCCCTAGAGTTATGATAATAGTAGTCAACGTGTTTTAAGCCCTTAATACAAGTCAGAGTCTCTGACACGCATTACCTCCCTTTATTCTCACAACAACTATGAGGATGGCTCTGTTATAATCTTCATTTCAGAGATGAGAAAACTGTGGTTCAATGTAGTTAACTTTACCAAAGCCGCACAGCCAGGAAGTTAAAGCCATGTCCAGATTTGCTGACTCTAGAGTCCCTCACTCTTAGCCACCTTGCTCTACTGCCTCTTTCTTAATGACGAAGTTAAGCAAAGCAGAACTTTCCCTGTGCTTCGCTCTCAACACCTGCCCCTTAATGGAGCCCTCGCACTGAACTATGGCCACAATGTTTACATCTTCAGTCTCCTCCTCACTCTCTCCTATAACATCCCCCAAGCCAGTCCCATGATAAGAAATTACTTTGACGTGGGTGAAAAACCCAAGTTATAAGCTGTTTACATCAAAGTTAATTCATTAATTCAACAAATATTTATTAAGCATTTATTATGTGCCAGGACCTGTGTTAAATCCTGTGGATATAGCAGTGAACAAACACATAAAATCCCTGTCCCACATTCTAGTAGTGGGAAACAGACAATAAACAAATAGCAGAAAATCATACAATGACATGTATCAGGGAGGAAAAACAAAGCAAGCAAGGGTAACAGGGAGTGCCATCAGGACAATTTTAAACACTCCGTAGGGGAGGCCTCACTGAGAAAACTTTTAAGCAAATTCCTGAAAGAGATGAGAAAATGAGCCATGAGGATATCTGGAGAAGAGTATTCTGGACAATGGGAACAGCTAGGACATCACCTCTTCAGGGGTATGACTGGTATGTTCAACAAACTACAATGAGCTTCTCTTCCTGGAGAAGAGGGCTCAGGAGAGTAGCAGGAAATGAAACCAGAGACATCAAAATAGCCAGTTGATGTTGGGTCCTGTAGGCCACTGTAAGGAGTCTGGCCTTTACTCTGCAATTGCAGTGGGAAGCAATTGCAGGCATCTGAGTAAACTGAAGACAAGATCTAAGTTAATTTGAAGAGATCACTTTGGCTTTTATGGTCATCACTCATTATAGATGGGTGGGTCAAGGAAGGAAGTAGAAACACTGGGTAAGAGGCTATTGTCAAAGAGTGTTATTCCTATGTTTTCCTCTAAGAGTTTACATTCTCTGATATAAATCACAACAAGATCTTTTTTGACCCACCTCCTAGAGAAATGGAAATAAAAACAAAAATAAACAAATGGGACCTAATGAAACTTAAAAGCTTTTGCACAGCCAAGGAAACTATAAACAAGATGAAAAGACAACCTTCAGAATGTGAGAAAATATTTGCAAATGAATCAATGGACAAAGGATTAATCTCCAAAATATATAAACAGTTCATGCAGCTCAGTATTAAAAAAGCAAACAACCCAATCAAAAAATAGGCAGAAGACCTAAATAGTCGTTTCTCCAAAGAAGACATACAGATGGCCAAGAGACACATGAAAAGCTGCTCAACATCACTAATTATTAGACAAATGCAAATCAAAACTACAATGAGGTATCACCTCACACCAGTTATAATCGGCATCATCAGAAAATCTACAAACAACAAATGCTGCAGAGGGTGTGGAGAAAAGGGAACCCTCTTACACTGTTGGTGGGAATGTAAATTGATACAGCCACTATGGAGAACAGTATGGAGGTTCCTTAAAAAACTAAAAATAGCATTACCATATGATCCAGCAATCCCACTACTGGGCATATACCCAGAGAAAACCATAATTCAAGAAGACACATGCATCCCAATGTTCGTTGCAGCACTATTTACAATAGCCAGGTCATGGAAGCAACCTAAATGCCCATCGACAGGCAAATGGATAAAGAAGATGTGGTATATATATACAATGGAATATTACTCAGCCATAAAAAGGAAGGAAACTGGGTCATTTGTAGAGACGTGGATGGACCTAGAGACTGTCATACAGAGTGAAAGTCAGAAAAGAGAAAAACAAATATCGTATATGAACGCATATATGTGGAATCTAGAAAAATGGTACAGATGAACCGGTTTGCAAGGCAGAAATAGAGACACAGATGTAGAGAACAAATGTATGGAAGCAGGGGTGGTGGTGGTGGTGGTGGAATGAATTGGGAGATTGGGATTGACATGTATAGACTAATATGTATAAAACAGATAACTAATAAGAACCTGCTGTATAAAAAAAATATATTTAAAAAAAGAGGCTATTGTCAAACATCCAGATGAGAGGGGTAGGTGGCTTGAACTAGGATCATCAATGCTCAGAAGTGGTCAGATTTTGGATACAGTTTGAAGGTAAACCCAAACAGCATTTTCTGTTAGATTGAATAACAGATGTGAAAGCAAAAAAAGGGTCAAGGATGTCTTCCAGACTGTTGATCTGAGCAAGAGGGCAAGGATGGAGGTGACATCTATTGAGACGTGGAAAACCATGGGAGGAGCGGAAATTTAGTTTTAAACGTATAAAAGTTGGAATGTCTATTCAACATTCGCACAGAAAAATGTGGAAACGCAGTGGGATACACAAGACAGAAGAGACATTCAAACCGTAAGTTTAAAATGTGAACTGAAACAACAACAAAAATGTGGACTGGTCAGAATATAGATAGTACTTAAAGAAATGAAAACTAGATGACGTCTCTTGAAGAATGAATGGAGATGGAGAAAACAAAAGGTATGAGGGCTGAGTCCTGGGGCACATCATCATTTAGAGGTCAGGAAGAGGAGAAGAATTCAGCAGGAGACACTGAGAAAGAATAGCGAGGTAGGTAGAAAGGAATCAAGAGTGAGTGATGACCTGAAAGCAAAATGAAGACCGTGTTTCATGGAGGAGGACACCATCAAGTGTGTCAAATGCTGCTAATAAGTTGAGTAAAGTGAGGAGTAAGAGTAGACCGTGGGATCTGGCAGCTTGAAGATCCTGGCGGCCTTGACAAAAGAAGTTTCAACACGGCAGTGGGTTTAAGATAAATGGCAGGTAATTCGAGCAGTTGAATCCAGCCTTTTTCCAATCAGCATTCCAACCAATCTCATTGTCTGGCTCAGTTTCCTCCCCAGTGGAGTCTACCTATGGGTCTCTCACAGCTCTCACCGTCCTATAAGAACAAAGTCTTTTCCTTCAACACTATTCCGTTCACCCCTAACTTCAGATTTATGTGCACTCACTAGAGATGTTACTGAATAAAAAGTAATCAGAAGTTCTCTCTTTCCAGATTTCCAGTGGCCTCTTCCTGCTCCTGGCCTTATTTAAATTCCTAGATGCTCCCTCCCTCACCTGACTTGTGCCTTTGTCTGCACGGGGCTCACACTTCACATTTTATGATAGAACCTGACTGCAGTCTTCCCACCTTTAGCTTCCTTCCACCTATTTGATCTTCTTTACATCACGATGACCACTTTGGAGTATGCTATGTTAAGAATAATGTCTAACATTTCGAGCACCATGTATGTGCTACAAACTATGCCAAATTCTTTATATTACTTAGGTCTCCCAATGACCTGTGGTAGGTATAACTTTATTGCCACTCCAGATGAGAAAGATGAGGCAAGAGAAATTAAGAAAACTTAATTTGATCAAGGTTCACAGTTGATAAGTAGCAAAGAAAAAAATCTAAAGACCCAGGTACTCTGACTTTAAGAGTTTTTCCTGATATAGGTTTTAACAGGGGGAAGGGCCTGAGTGCTTATTCTGGGATTTAGAGAGAGCTCTGTGGAAGAGAAGAGAAAGATCACAGGAAATAGAGAAGGGATCAGCAAAAAAACAATTTCTCTTACTCCACAATATTGTCTTACAACAGTTTTGTTCTTCAACCATATTGGTGACACTCCATGGCACATTAAAAAATCTTGAGTCATTTTCTCCTTCCTTACTAATTAACTATTAACAATCATTAATTAATTATTATGGACCAATAAAAGAAACAGGAAATGTTACTGTTCTAATGGTCATCTCTGTTTTCCATACAGCACCCTGAGGAAAGAGCCCGTGTTCAATGATGAGCTCCCGGCTCGCATTCTATGTGGCACTGTGACCGTTAAGCCAAATGTGAAGGAGTTTACAGAGACTTCGGCCATTTTTGAGGATGGGACAGTGTTTGAGGCCATTGACTGTGTCATCTTTGCAACAGGCTATAGTTACGCCTACCCCTTCCTTGATGACTCCATCATTAAGAGCAGAGACAACGAGGTCACCTTATTTAAAGGCATCTTCCCACCTTCACTGGAGAAGCCAACCATGGCAGTGATTGGCCTTGTCCAGTCCCTTGGAGCTGTCATCCCCACAACTGACCTGCAGTCTCGCTGGGCAGTACGAGTAATAAAGGGTAAGCAGACAAAGAAGCTCATTGATGGGAAAGATGGAAGCCAATGAGAATGGCTTTGAGTCTTTGTGAAAACAATAATCCTAATAACAAGGGACAAATCCTAGGTCCCATCCAGTTTCCAGAATCTGTAATTCTACATTTTTTAGTATTATATTTTATAAACAATTAAAAACATATTACATTGAATTGTCATAAACAATAGTACAAGGTATTATTCAAGGAGTAGTTTGTGATTAATAACTCCTTAGAACTGTTAATTACCCAAGACCTTTCATTAAACTTGAGAACACCAGAGACTCTCATCTTAAATGCATGACAACTTTATAAAATTAAGATTTCAAAACTCAATAGAATGACATTTCTTGAAAGGTTAATAAAAGATGTTTCAAAGCCAATATCCAGCCAACTTTAAACATCCACAGTCATGAAAAAAAAATTATCATTGCTAGAGAGGAAGTGGATTTCCTGCTCTATTTTCTTCCCTGTCATGGATCATTAGAAGCAGAAAGCACTTGGTGTGGTAGACAGTCTCTAAGGAATACTAAATCCCTGTATTTTAAAAAGAAAAAGGAAACAACAAACTTGATTGGGGCCAAGCAAAGAAGGCAGGCAGCATCATCCAGCCCTAGGCACTGGGATCAGATTCACACTAAGCTTTAAATGCAGTTGTGGGCCAATTCAGACAATAAGACCAAACAGGGCCATGGTTAAAGAACAAATAGAGATGTCAAAGTTTAGTGTGCAAAGTCTAGTTGGTCTTAAAGGTATGAAAATTATGGATAAGGAATCTTAGCTGGTCTGCTTCCTTTGAAGCCACATCTAAGGCTTCCAGTCCTACCTGACTTGCTGGGGTTTAAGTGTTCTTTTATACTGGTGGTTGGAACCTGCAACTACATAGCCTGCATCATCGCCCACCACCAGGCTACTATCCACATCATTACAGTCCTTTATATCAGTGATCTCTCTGAATCTCCTTCCCTCCCCGGTCCCCAAGCAGAGATGTGTTGCAGGATGATGTTACTCCAGTGAGGCAGCAGCCAGGAAGGTGAGGGCATGAAATTCTACTTAGAAAGAGCTAGGATCAGGGTCCAGGTTCAAAGAGACTGGCATTAAAATGTGGGACACTTACTCTCTGTGTGGACAAGAGTTGTAACCTGGGCTCTGAAGAAAGGAGACAAGGCAGATACCCAATCAACAGAGAACTGATGCACAAGGCAAAGACTCAGTCTTGGGGGAAATGGAAGATAAGGCAAACAATCCAATTTGGGGGAACCAGGGTACCAGGACAGAGGGGTCAGCTACAAGCAGCCCAATGGCAATAGCTGGTGGGCTATGGAATATAGCCTCTTCTCCATCTCTCCTCCTGCCCAAGGACAGAATGAGTCCCAAGGTTTGAAACAAGGCCATGTCTACAGACTGTTCACATGACCCTGTCTATAAGGATTTCAGGAATAGGGAGTTAGGCAAGTCATTGTAGGTCTTGAGCAATCACAGCTAGGCTGGGAATTCTGGTTCCAGGTGATCGCAGAATTGCCAAAGAAACCACATTAATTTGAAGCATCTGGGTACAAAAGTTTGGGTCTAGATTTCAGAGAATTCTATAAATTGATGCCAGAAAGAGCCTGAAATCTTGGGGCAGCCCCAAATCAGATTTGGTCTCCTGGGACTTCCCTATATCCTTGGTGACTTATGGACAGTACATATCCTCAGTCTCATTCAGGTTTTCAGAGAGAACCCTGCGGCTTCACTAAATTCTCTATCTTATCTGCTGGAAATTCCCTTTCCTGGCAAAGCAAGATAACTTCCTATGAAGATTTTTTTTCTTAAATCTTAAAAAAGAGATGCCTATTTACCTTTGGCTATAATTTATTAGAGAACATACTTAAAAATAAAGCTGAGAGATTAGAATATATAATCTAATATTTTGAAACTGATTTTTTAAATCCGATAACTGGTTTAAGTGCAAAGATACAAAGGTAAAAGATTATTTGGGTAATGGCTTTTAATTATTGTGACGAGTATCATCGCTGAGAAGATTGGGAATGACCTGTATGTTTGTCTCAAAATTTTATTTTGCTAGACAGTGACAAAAAATTTGGAAATACTAATGTGATTCATAACTCACTATTAAAAAGGAAACATTGCAAGCTGGTCCTGTGCCAGACTTACTTAACTACTATCATGTCTTTCCCTTTTTATAGGAACTTGCACTTTGCCTTCTGTCAAGGACATGATGAATGACATTGATGAAAAAATGGGGAAAAAGCTCAAATGGTAAGAGCAGCTATTGTAAAGGGATGTAGAATTTTCATAGAAAAAGCAGAATTTGTGAATACTTGGGACTGTTTTAGTTTTAAATGGCCCTGAGTGAGGTCATTACGTTGACAGCTATGAGCTAAATTCAGCCATTCAACAAATATTTATATCCAGGATCTATTTTGCACCTGATACCCCACTAAATCCTGTTTTAACCCTCCATAGCTCCTGCAATATGTCATAGAAAGGAAACCCAGAAAGATTAGAAGTTAGAGGAGTTTGGGAACATGTGGATGTGGACTTCAATTTTCTAGCCCATAAATCCTCTAAGATGTAAAGGATGCCTTCCAACAGATGGCTCTAATAAAATGAGAACTAGTCAGAAGAACCGGGCTCCAGTCCTACCTCTGTCACTAATTAGCTCAGTGGTCATGAAGTAATAACCTCACTTGAGCAAGAGACAATTTACCTACTTGTAAATGTGAATAAAAATGCCTTTCTCAGCTGCCTTGCCGTGTTGTGGAATGTCCAAATGAGATCAGTATGAAAGTCCTTTAGTAACAACTACAAAGTACAGGATAATGAGCAATAGTCCCCTTACCAACACAAAGGATAGATGCTGATTCCCATGGATAAAAAGGTGTGAGGCATTTTCCCTGTTCTTGTTCCTATACAAAGCGTGGATGACCACAGTCTCGTTTCCTCTCCCGCCCCTAGGTTTGGCAAAAGCAATACCATACAGACGGATTATATCGTTTATATGGATGAACTTGCCTCCTTCATTGGGGCAAAGCCCAACATCCCATGGCTGTTTCTCACAGATCCAAAGTTGGCCTTGGAGGTTTACTTTGGCCCTTGCAGCTCATATCAGTTTAGGCTGGTGGGCCCGGGGAAGTGGCCAGGAGCCAGAAATGCCATCCTGACCCAGTGGGACCGGACGTTGAAACCCACGACGACAAGAATTGTTGGGAGTCCTCTGAAGCCTTGCTTATTTTGCAGTTGGTTCAGGCCCGTTCTTATTTCTGTTCTGTCAATTGCTGCTTTCCTTGTGTTGTTCTAATCATCATTCCATCTAGGATTCTGAAAGTTACTAACACTACCTGGGAAGAAACTTTGCTATTTAAAAATTAGGAATTGCACACCTCCTACTTTCCTATTTAGCAGGCGTTAGTCAGTAAGACAGTACTATTTCTAGGCCTTTAAATAAGCCCCTGTAAGAATCATGTCATGATCTAAAGAACATTAATCAATTCTCTTCAGGTTCCACTAACATTTCATAATTCCATAACATTTCCATAACATTTCATAGTTAGATATATCCTCTTTATCTCTAACCTAAGTCATCTCCTGAAACATTTGACATGATTCCTTTTCTCCTTAAACAATGTTTGAAATATGTATTTCAAATCTAAACAAAGAACAGATTAAGCAGAGTAGCTGCAATATGATAGTCCCAGCCTACTTCTACAAACTATTTGCAGGGAGAATTTGGCTATTATATTCTATTTCTGTCCTCCAGGAGATTCCTCCTGTCCCCTGGCCAAGAAACATAGCATGGAGACCCCATTTATAATGAAAGTTAGCAAGAAGTAACTCATTTTATTTAGATTCTCAATAAGGAACCAACTTCCCAACATGTAGCAGCAAAATAATGACAACAATAACAATAATAATGAGTAGAGCACCAAATATACCTTTTAACTGAATGGACAATCTTTTAAAAAATTAATATTTAGCCAAAGCTATGACCCAAGCCTAATAAAACCTGATACAGATCATATAAAATTATATACCCTTATAGAATGGGGTGCCAGAATAAATCTAAAATTTTATTTTTTAAAGTATTATTACATGTTACAGTTAAATTTTGACAGCTAAAGATTTTCAAGTTTGACATTATGGAGCAGATAAAATAATCTGTCAGCGTCACCAGCCACCAGAGGGCTCTGCATGTTGTTGAACTCCATATTTCTTACTACACCTTCATTTCTTTTTTTTTTTTTCCAAACAGACTTTATTAAAAAAAAATCTTGTGCTATACTTGGTTATAAAGGGACAGTCACAAATTTGGGGGAAAATACCATTTTATCTTTCTTATTCATTATTCCTTTCTTTATTATGCTTCTTTAGACGAAATACTCCTTACAAAATCCTGGAATCCATATTCCTTATGAAATACTCCTTACAAAATTTCTAACTGAAGCCATTAGAGCAACAAGAGAGGAGGAGATCACATTTTTCTCTAACACTTTCTCCTTTTCTTTTTTTTTAAATTCTCTTGATATTTTAATCTTTGGAGCTAAGATTTATTATGGATGTTGTTGTAGACAACTTTAAATCGTTCCCTTTTCCTAATTGTTTAAGGTAGCAAAATAATATTCTGCTTTTAAGGTCTTCTCACAGATGTGAAGTATTCCCAAATATTCCCAAGTGAAACAGAACTTTTCTTGAAACCCTGTGGCCCACATGGAATCAAGTAAACAAATTAAATACAGCACATAAAATTTATTTTGTTTCATGTTATAAATGCTAGTATGCAAAATAAATTGAAGATTAAAATTGATACAGTTTCTTTTATTCTTCCTCATATGATTCTTTAAGTTTTTGTAAACATTAATTGGCTCATTAATAGTTTTCCTAAACTATTGTAGCCAACATACTCTCTTAATAGTCCTATTAACATCTATCTATTCCCATACTAAACTGAACTATTATCAATGTCTTAATTACTTTGGTACATAACAGTAATTCTCAATCATTCAATTCCACAAGTTACTCTGATAAGACTAAATATGTGTGTGTGTGTGTGTGTGTGTGTGTGTATTTCAACTGACACACAATTTGAACATATGAAGCACAAAAGATTTTTTTCACTCCCAGTTTCATCTAGAAATTCTTACCAGTTCTTAAAAGTGCATAGTCAGATATTAAAAATAAAAGCAAATAAAATTTTTTTTGTACAGCTGTCATAGCTATGCTGATTAGATATGAAGCTGACCTGCAGGATCACACGATTATTGGCCACACCCACTTTCCGCAACGGGAGGAAGGACCTTGAAATGGATTTCGGCAATTCAGCCATTCAGCGGTTTCCAGCTTCTGAAGCCAAGTAGCAGTTTTGAGCCAAATACTGAGACCAAAGTCAGTCTTCAGTGTATTTACCTACCAATCTTCTTCACTTCCTCTCTTCCTTCCTGTCTTCTTCCTCTTTATCTTCCTCTTCTTTCTTCTCTGTTACTATTCTTACTTCTTTCTTCCTTTCTCTAACTTCTTCATCCTCCCTCTTCCCCTTCCTTCTTCCTCTTTCCTTTTCCTTCAGCAGAAATGATTGGAGGCAGGAGTATTCACTTTGAAGGACCCTTGGATCTTCTGAGATGGTGTCCCACATGCTAACCCCAAACTGTCTTCCAAGAAGTGAGCATGCTCCCCTAGACACAACCATGCTACATGCTGTGATGAAGATGCTGAGTTAGATATGGTCCCTGTCTTCAGTCAGGTACAGTCTGGTATGTAACAGAGAACTGAAAAAAAAAAAAAAATCTAACTTTGCCTTGAGCAAGCAAAAACTTCTAATTTTTTGTAGAAATCCAGCCTCTGTGTTCTCAGTTGCCCAAGATTTTCAGAAATTGCTAGCATCTGCTATGTTAGAGTTTAATTAAAGTATTGAAGCTTAATTAATATTCAGAATAACCCTTTAACACAGGTCTTATCACCAGGGCTTCTCAGAAGTCAAGAGAAGCCTGAGACTTTTTTCTATCAGAACAATTTTTTAAATGAAGAAGTGTCAAAAATATTATAAAAACTGTAATTTATTTTAAAAGTTTATATAGAACTAAAACTTTAAAGCAAAAGATATGACACAATATTACATATATATTCACAAGATAGTTATAGGTTTTATTACAAAAATAGGAATTCATAATACCCTAGCTGTACCCTAAGACACAGCTGCAAATTCAATGTTTTAAGATAGAAAATGTCTTTCAGTTCTATCATTGTGAATCTCATTTGGAGACAACATCAAAAGAATAAATGTGAGGTCCTTTATGAATATGAGTCTTCGGCCAAGTGGTCTCTCTGATGGCCCTTCTGATCAAGATCTTAGAAGTCAATAGTCCTCAACACAATCCAATGCAATGTCCCCCTTTTAATAGTAAGTATTTTACAATGCTCTATTTACAGTCCTGAAGTGAAATTTATAGACAATATAACTTACATACACATATAAAAAATACATCTTAACCACTATAGCCCCATTGTAATGTTTAGGACCTCTTTGGGTTTTTTACCTACAAATACACAACCACTGGGTTTCAAAAGTTGCTTGAAATATTGGACAAATCATTGTATAGGACTTTACAGGGTATCTAATGTCTAGTACTCCCCAATCATGCAACAACAGAAACTGCCCCTGCAAACTTCAAAAATGTCCTAAATGGAGTGAAATCACCCCTAATAAGAATCATTATAAAATGGTTGAAAAATCTGAGTCTTAGAGATTATAATCCAGGATTACACACTCATCCAGAAAGGGCACAGTTCAAATCCAAAGCCACATCTCATGACATCTAATCCAGTACATTTTTTTCAGAATGTCACAACTGCTCCTAATTTGGAATGGATTTCAAGGTGACATCTGACCTTATTGTGTCTGTCCAAGATCTGTTGATCTTTGAGACCCAGAAATCATGCATCACATAGTTCCCTTCAGTACAAATAATATACAAATCATAGTCCAACTTACCAACATTAATAAATGATATTAGTTCTGTATAACAAGCTCTTTGTGTTGACATCCAAAAGTGATGAGGAATGGTTCTAAATTCCTTTATTTGAACCATTTGTATAACCACTTCTAAATTTTCTAGGTTTACATATACCACTGCCTACTTGATATATTTTCTTGCATGTGGATAGGCATCTCAAACATGTAGTTTTAACTACTAAATTTCACGCTTCATTTTCCCCACCAACAACACACCCATGTATACCCCAAATTGTTTCTTCCTCAGCCTTACTCATCCTGGTAATAAGATGTCTAAATATTCAGTTTCTCAAGCCAAAAACCCAGGCATGATCCTTGATTCCTTTCTTTGTCTCAGGTATTAGTTTGCTAGGGCTGCCTAACATTTCAATTTCTATGTAGCAGCAAAGGTGATCTTTCTCAAACACAAATAGAATCTTGTCACCCCGAAGATTAAATCCCTACAATGTTGAGCCATTGCAATTAGAATAAAATTAAAGTCCCATCATGACCTACAAGATCCTGCTCTACCTTCAACCCCATCTGATACATTTTTCCGCCCTTCTGTATTCCCACCAGACTGGCTTTCTTTCAGACTAAATTCATTCCCAACTGAGAACAGTTACATTTGCTGTCGCTCTGCTTGAAATGTTTTATCTCAAGATGTCTGCATACTGACATTTTCTTATGGTATTCAGATCTCAATTGACATAGGACAATCTCAGGAAAAAAAAAAAAAACCGCCTTTCCTGGCCACCCAATTTACATCAGCATAACCCTCTTTCAAACCATCCTGTTTTATTTCCTCCTTGGCGCTTCTTTTTTCTGAAATCATCTTATTCATTTTTTTTTTTACTTGTTTCTTATCTACCTTCCTCTTTCTCACTCCCAGCTACAATATGAACATAAATCCCGCCTGTTTTATTCTCCACTGTATCCTCAGTGCCTTCACTGTGTCTGGTACTAGTGGATACTCTATAAATATTTATTAAATTAGTAAATACATTTGCATGTGTATTCACTACACTTCATAAAAACATGCATTTTAATACATTCTTAATATATATTTATTCAGTAAAATTCTTTAACATGTTCCCTTCAAAGTCATTTTTATTCTGTAAAATAAATAGTATTGTTCATTACTCTCAAATTGTGATATATTCATTATATAAAATGATACATCCATTGGCATTTGGGTAGTGCAATAAAAATTTACTTTTATACGTCTTAAATAAGTATTATAGTTACCTTTTATCAAGATGACTAGTATCAAAATTAACCTATCATAACAAATCATATCAATATTAAACATTAAACCAATTAATATTAAATCAAGAAGTATTATGTTTTTTAAGCAATTCTTTCTAATATCCAATCTATTGTTCTTGAAAAGACATTTAAAATAGGCCAGGTGATAGATCAGGTTAAGTCAAATTTGTACTCTGTATTTGATACATTCACATTTATAGAAGCAAATGGGAATACTTGAAGGACAAAGGAATCAGATTCTTAAAAACAAACCAGGATATTATTTATTTTGAAGCTGACTATTTGGGGGTTAATAGTCAACTAATGGAAAGAAACCCATGTTACTAATTCATGAGGCTAATCAACTTGCTGCATAAACTCCAGAGGTACATGGTTGCCCTTGTTCATTATTATTACCATTCCTATCCAGATAGCATTACCTTGTATTTTTAGGGCATCATAGTGTTCTCCAAGTGCATTCAGATTTACTTTTATCATCCTCTTTTCATGAACAGCATGTAAGCTTACCAGGACATTCTCCATGCCTATATTGCAGATGGGGAAATAAACATGCAAAGAGGTAGCGGTAGAGCCAGGGGTCTTCCAATCCCCTGGCAGGGTGCAGGTTAATTCTGTGACAAAGCACAAGAGGAAAGCAACTATAATCTAGAAACCCAGTTCTCAGTTGACTGTTTTCTTGGGTTAAGAGAACACCACTTAACAAAGAAAGTTCTGAGTACCCTTTCTAATCTTGAGATGGTACCTACATTGCTCAAACCTTTTCTTATAGGCTTTTGTACCTACTGTATTCACAACTGCTTTTCACAAGACTCAGCTACCAGGCTTAGCTATGGAGGAAGGCCTGAAAATA